AAAGGCTGCCGAGGCCAGCACAGATGCTGGCCCGTCTCTCCTACCACACCTGGGACCCTTTGCCATGCACCAGAGTGCACGTGCAGGGACAAATAGCAGTGGCACAAATATATGCTTCTGGTATTTGTCCTGCAGTAAAATGCATGCCCCCTACACATGCATGGTCATGAGGACATGATCATAAGGTGCATCTACACAACACACTTTACTGTGTATTAGACTAATGCACAGTAAAGCATCACTGCCTACATGTGCACTGCAATTACTGCTCAGTAGATTAGTCTAATGCACTGTTTTCTAGTACCTGTAGATACAGGTACTAGAAAAACCAGGACATTAACTAATGCACTGTACCTCACGAATAGACACTGACTGGGAGCAAATTGCTCCTGGTGAATCTAGGCAGTAGGGGGTCAAAGAGGATGGGGAGAGCTGTCCCGGCTCAGTGGGATGCCGTCTTCCAGCCAAGTGGAGATTGGGACACATCACAGCTTCCAGGCATCTGCCTCCCAGCCACATGGAGATCTGGATCTCCATGTGGCTGGGAGGCAGATGCCTGGAAGCTGTGATCAGGACAGCTCTACCAGCCACATGGAGATTGGGACAGCAGCTGGGACAGTTCTCCCACACCCTGTGGAGATCTAGGCCAGACCCCAGGGGCCTGCCAGCCCAGAGCTGGCACCTGGAGAAACCTGGACTTCCCCCTGGCTGTTGCAGGGGGACAGAGCAAGGCAGGTGCACTTGAATTTTCTGGTCAGAAAATTCAGGCACGTTAAATCCACACGTAGATACACCTATACAGGGGTATCTGCGTTAAGTTTAATGGTCCACAGTACCTAAGAGGTACAATAAAACATGGTCTAAAGGCCATCCTGGCCTTAAAAAGTCAGTGACGCTACAAATTCATAGATTTCATAGACATTAGGGCTGGAAGGGATCTCAGAAGGTCATTGAGCACAGCCCCCTGCCCCAAGGGCAGGAAGTCAGCTGGGGTCATAGGATCCCAGAAAGATAAGCATCCAATTTACTCTTGAAGACATTCAATGTAGGTCCTTGAACCACCTCTGATGGCAGGCTATTCCAGACCTTGGGGGCTCTTACAGTAAAGAAGTTCTTCCTTATGTCCAGCCTGAAACAGTCTTGGAGGAGTTTATAACCATTTGACTTTGTCATCCCTTGGGCACTCTGGTGAATCAATGTTCCTCCAGATGCTAGTGAACACCCCTTATAAACTTATAGGTGGCCATCAGATCCCCCGAGCCTGTGCTTTTCCAAGCTAAAGAGCCCCATAGCTCTCAGCCTCTCATCATAAGGTCTGTTTTCCTGACCTCTGATCATGCGTGTGCCTCTTCTCTGGACTCTCTCAAGCTTTTCCACATCCTTTTTGAATTGTGAGGCCCAAAACTGGACGCAGTACTCCAGCTGTGGCCTCACCAAGGCCAAGTACAAGTACAACAGGAGAATGACGTCCCGGGAGTTGCTTGAGAAGCATCTACGGAAGCAAGCCAGCGTTTTGCTTGCTTTACTAGCAGCCGCATCACATTGAAGGCTCATGTTCATCTTGTGGTCAATCATAACCTGCCAAGTCCCTTACATCTGTAGTGCTAGCCAGCGTAGCACTGCCTAGCCTATAAGCATTCTGCCCAAGGTGGAGAACCTTGCATTTTTCAGTGCTAAACACCATCAGGTTCTCATCCACCCATTTCCTGAGCCTGTCAAGGTCAGCCTGGATTGCCCTCCTGTCCTCAAGTATGGATGCTTTACGCCAGAGTTTGGTATCATCATTGAACTTGGTCAGTCTGCTTCTGATACCAATGCCTACATTGTTAATGAAGATGTTGAACAAAATAGGTCCAAGGATAAATACAAAAATGTTATGTTATACAAACTGCATGTGTTTCTAAATAGGTGGCTGATGATACAACAAACTTATAGCTTACTTTCAACCCGATTCATCCAAGCTACAGAAAACTTGCTATTGCATTAACTTCCTAAAATTTTGGACTAAATGAGAAGTTCAGAGGTAGACTGATGTTAAGCTTTATCATAGGAAAATTCTGGCAAAAATAAAAGATAAATTCTACTTACTTTTTTGTTACTGCTCGCTCAGGGATCTTCTTAAGCACCTCAGTGTCTTGTGGGGGCAAAGTCTTGCCCTTTGCCATTGGGATTTCATGGTGTGAGGTTTGTACCTGGGCTTCAGTACATAAGCGGGATGAACGCCATTTCTTTCCCAGGGGTATTTCAACATATGAGGTCTGCACATGGGCCTCAGTAAAGACAGAGGGTGGTGATTTCAACTCCATCTTCTCCTTTGACTCTTCATTCAACTTCTTGGCTTCTTGCATTTCAATCTTGGGGGTGGACAGAGCCACTTCTTCCTCTTCTGTTATTTCAAGCCAGGAGGTTTTGCCTTGGGTCTCAGTGTGCAAGGGGGAAGGAGACTCCTCTTTCATCTCTGGTAAGCCAAGCTCAGAGGTCTGCTCCTGGACCTCAGTTTGTGGTAGAGAAGAAAACTCCTTCTTTGCCTCTAGTAATGCTGGCCTGGAGGATTCCCTTTGTATTTGAGTCTGTGACAGGGAAGGAGACTTCTCTTTTGTCTCTGGTAACCCAAGACTGGAGGTTTGCACCTGGGCATCAGCTTGCAGTTGTGATGAATGCCACTTATTGCCTACTGGTATTTCAACAAATAAGGTTTGTGTCTGAACCTCAGTTAGTCTGGAGGAAATGGGTCTCTCTTCTGATTGTGCTGGGGATGCACCGTCTTCCACCTCACGTAGATCAAGGTACAAAATTTTCAACTGATTGCCAGTTTGGAATGGGGTAAGGAGAAACTCCTCTGCTTCTGGAAATGCAACCTTGGATGTTTGCACCTGGGCCTCAATTTGTGAACAGGGAAGGGGAGCTTCTTCTACTCTTGTTAATACAAGATTGGAGGTTTGCACGTGGGCTTCAGTTTGTGACAGAAACAAAGGCTCCTCCTCTGCTCCTGTTAATGCAAGCTTTGAATTTTGCACCTGATCTTCAGTTTGTAAGTGGGAAGAAAGCTTCTTTGGTAACTCCTGGTTTAATCTTTGTGTTTGGCTCTCCGTTTGGGAGAGGGGAGAAAGTCTCTCCAATAAGTCAAGGCCTGAAGTTTGCACTGGGGCCTCAGCTTGTAGTCGTGACATACTCCACTTGGTTGCTGCTGGTATTTCTATATTTGATGTTTGTACAGCTGCTTCTGCTAGAGCTGTAGAGACAGGCTTCTCTTCCACAAGTACATGAGCCTCTTCTTCTGATTCTGCTATTGAAAGGTTTGAGGTTTGCACTTGGACATCAGTTTCTGATGGTAAAAGAAGCTCTGTTGCTTCTATTAATGCAAGTTGTGAGGTTTGCACCTGGGTTTCTGTTTTCAAAACAGAAGAAAGCCTCTTCAATAACTCGTGACTTGAGGTTTGCACCTGGGCTTCCATTTGCAGTCGTGATGAACGCCACTTATTCTCTGCTGGTATTTCTACATACAAAGTTTGCACTGCAGCTTCAACATACAATGGAAACAAAGTCTTCACCCTTGTATCTGGCCATTCAAGATCTGAAATTTCTACCTCGGTCCCAGTTTCTAAGGGGTAGAATGTCTCCTCCTTTGGTATTGTAAAAGCTGATGTTTGTACTTCCACCTCTGTTTGTGAAGCAATTTCTTCTTCTGATAGCTCAAGATTTGAGGTTTGCATGTAAGCTTCAGTGTTCAGCCGTGACCAACGCCACTTACCTTCAGGTGGTATTTCAACAAAAGATGTTTGCACTTCAACATCAGTTTGAGAGGATAATGACGTCTCCTCTCCAGATAATTCCAGGTATGAGGTTTGTACCTGGGCCTCTGTTTCAAAAGGCAATGAAATCTCCTCTTCTGGTAATTCAATACTTGAGGTCTGCACCTGGACTTCAGTTTGTATTCGTGACCATCGCCACCTATTTCCCTCTGGAATTTCAACATAGGAGGTTTGTATCTGGGCATCAGCATTTAACGCATCTTCTTCATCTTGCTATAAAAGACAGAAAACTAAACTCACCATAAACACAGTCCTATATTTTTCCAAATAAAATGGAAAGTTTCACAGCTAGAAATACCCCTCCTTCATTCCTACTTACCTAGTGTGGTTAGTACCCCACACAAGCCAATACAGTAAAGCACAGTCAAAGAAACTGACAGGACATTATTCCCAGGCAGGCTATTAGTGCTGTTTTAGTCATGGAGCAGCATGACATAAGGCAATGTTTTGGTCAGCTGATTGGGGCTGGGGGGAGGGAATCAAGTGAAGGCAATGGTCGTTTTTTCATGCCAAAGAAATGTGTAAGCATCATACTGCTCATCAGGTGGGTTTCCCTATAATGCTAGGGTAAAAAGCCTCCTGAATTTAAATGGGGTAAGGACTTCCTACCTACATGAGCTCTTTTCAGAATATTAACATGGATTTGTGTCAGGCTAGCTTCTGATTTCCATACTCCACTTTGAATATTGCTTTCTCTGGAAATACCCCCATTGATTTTTGGAAAGTTACCTGCAAAGTAAGGTCCTACTTAGTGGGTGCTTCTACATAAGATGTTTACTGCAGAGTAGATTAATTAGCTCCACAGTAAACATCTCACGTCTACACACGCGACCCTATTAGGCCATAAGGAACTAATAAACTATACTGCTTTGGAGTTTACTCATCCGCAGCAGCACACGTGTAGACAGTGACTGCCTGGGGACTACCTCTACAATGGAGCATCCTTGTGCCCCAGCCTGCCCATCTGCAGCAAGTTCAGCCAAGTCAGAGTAGCCCAAGGTTGGCAGACTGACCCCTCAGGCGTTGTACCAGCTGGGGCTGCTCTGACCTGGCTCAATGTGCTTTGGTCCTGGGTGCATGTTTAAACAGTGTGCCCAGGAGCAATAAACTCTGACGCATGTTGTGCCAGAGTTTATTGCTGCATGCTAACAGCATCTGTGAGCAACGGTGTAGGAATATAACCCTTAATGGTTTGTCACTAATTTATTACCTTATGGATAACCCAAAGATCAAGTTCAAAGGTCTTTTTGAGGCCTCATGGCTTGCATGGCTAGTGTGGTAAAGGCAGATCACTTTCTGCAGCCAGCAACATACAATGAAGTGATGTGTCTGGTATCATAATTAGTCAGGTACCTGTTTACAGTACGGCTCACTGGGGGAAGCCTTTGGTACATGTCACAGTGTCAAAGACTTCTAGGGTTGGATGGGACCTCAGGGTTCCTCTCATCCAGGGAAGCAAAGATATGGCCCACAGAGTCCAATCATCCAGCCCACAGTGGTGCCTATGGGTCTCAGACTGGCTCCTCACACAGCATGCTCCAGACTGGCCTTACATGTTAGGTACAGTATGCACACTGCACATGGGGTCAGAGCTGGTCCATGCAGGGTCATTCTGTGGCATGATGTATATGGTGTAGGGTGTGGGGTCAATCTGGGGCACATGTTGCATGTGGTGGCTGGAGCTGGTCCAGGGCACATGCTGTAAGTGGCACCCAAACCAGATCAGCCCTTCATTCTGGATCTGGCTTACAGGTGGGCCTGTGGACCTGCTGACTACTGTGCAGGGGGAGGTGAGGGGAAGGGAAGTCTTACCTGCTCATGCTTTCTGCACAGTAGAGGCAGCTGCTACTGCTGCTGTCATAGCAGCTCCTGGTGCTCCATTCACTGGTCCCCACCCCAGATATACTACTGAGCATAGGACTGTACCTGCTATGGCAAAGACTCCCATGGGGGTAAGCACCATTCTGCTTGCCCCCCCAGACACCTTGCTGGGTGTAGGGATACCCCTGCCATAGCAAAGACTTCCAAGGGTAAAGGCGGGATTCTGGTGTCACCTCAGAATTGGCACCTAGGGCTTGCTGTGCCTTGCTCACTTCCCCAGTCACACTACTGCTTAAGGCCAGATGTTCAGAAGAATCTGAGCTCTTGGTTAAGCACTGGAACAAAATGAGCAGATTTTCAAAACTGCTCAGCACCAAGCAGCTCCCCTTAAGGACTTTGAAAAGCTTTCAGCAATTGCCTGTTGCAGTCCTCGCTGCTGTCAGTGCTACAACTCCACTGCCATAGAAATCACTCACATTCCTAATAGCAATGTGAAAATCTTACCATTCCAATTAGGTATCACAAGGGAGCTCTGGGTTGCTAACTTCTCTCTGTGTCTTATTTTTGTTTGAAAATATGGCCCTTAGGTTTTTTGTTGACAAAACCCAATCAGTTACTGCAAGTGTTCATGAAACCCCCAGTGACTCAGAACTAAAATGATTCAGCATAGGGTTTGCATCTTCTTGTGAGGGATGCCAGTGCCATGCTGGTAGGACTCTTTGGACAAAACAGGATGCCTCTTCTATTTCCTCCCTAATTTAAAAAATCATGGAATTCATGCAATTGCTGTAACAGAGTCACAGTGCTATGACTTCATGTTCTAAGATGTCTCTTGCAGGAATGCAGATCTGCAGGGTGAATGCAGATTTCAAGTTAAACACTTGCACAAATCATCTTGCATATTTATGTCTTGTCCTGCCATTCCAGCAGATGAGTAACTTGGTGCTAATGTATTTCTTTTGCACACCTCATGACCACAGCCACTTGTTTTCTTTGTCCCACACACACCTACAGAAAATAGGGTCAGGCATTTTTTAATCCAAAGGCGCTCCAGACTGTGCCTGCAGTTACCAAAATAAATTCAACAGGTTGGCAGTAAACAAGATTCTCTTTGCAGTGCACTCAATCCATGTAATTATCATCCAGTAATACATGCCACAGGACACTTATTTATTTGACAGGACAAGTGATTAAAGCTACAATTCCTCACAGCAGGTCCCTGAACTTATGCCAATATTTACCTGTTTTATTTCTTCTGGCTCCTTTTCAGGCACCTCTGGCAAAACACTGCTTATACTGATACTGCAATACAGGATGGGACAGAGGGATTTAGAGCTTGTTAAACTGCCAGCAATGTTATAATTAATTAATAAGATCAAGTAATACCTAATACTCAAATACACAACAAGGAAGACCTTTTATATGGAAAGGAAATGATTCATGACAAAGATTTTAGCTATTTTAAGATGACTTAAAACAAACATCTGTCCTTCATGCTTTGGCATAAATAGGGATTGTAACTTCAGTGCATTGCATGTTTTCTTCCTTGCCACCACCTTATTGTCTTCCAGTCCTTCCCTAACCCCTTCTTCACATTTCCTACAAATGTCTTCTTTCAGACTCCGGGTAGGTAACTGGTAAGCTGAGACCTAAGCTTTTTCGATAGGATCATAAGAAAACAGAACTGGAAGTGTCCTTTCTGAGGTCATCTAGTTCAACCCCCTTCTCAGGGCAGGACAAGCCATCCCAGTCAAATGTCTGGCCAACCTGCTCTTGAAAACTTCCAAGAATAGAGATTTCATAATTTCTCTAGGTAGCCTGTTGCAATGCTTAACCACCCTCGTAGTCAGAATACTCTTCCTAATCTCCAAATTTATGTTTTCTTTGCTGCAGTTTAAGGTCATTGCTTCTAACCCTGGCCCTCATAGGTGGATCCAGGATTTGAAAAGGTCATGTGAGAGAACTGACTGGTGCTACAAGGGTGGCTGTAGCCTCACCCCCTCCCCACCAAGGCAGAAAATCCCCAAATCAGGTAAGAATCCTTACTCCACTTACCAGCCTCCAAACCCTCCAGCTCTCCATGCAGCCCTGCTAGGATGCAGCAAGAGCAGCTCTAGAGCTTCTTCACTTACTCATTTGGGAGCAGTGGCAGCAGTGAAGTGGGGAATGGGAGGGAAGGGAAATTGCCACTGATCATAGAAGAAAAGGGAGGAGTGCTAAAACTGGGGTATAGGCTGGGTTCTTACCTACTTTGGGGACTTTAAAAAAGGCCCTGGCTGCTGCTTCTGCAGTACAGTCCAAAAGGTGGGCTGCAACCATGCCACCATACCCACTCTGAATCCTGTGTCTCATAAAGCTACA